TTTGTTTTATGAAAAGGTTTCACTTAATCATGGGAAGCTTTAACAATTGTTCTAGAATGTTTTTAAAAGGTTTCACTTAATCATGGGAAGCTCTAATAATTGTTCTAGAATGTTTTTAAAAGGTTTCACTTAATCATGGGAAGCTCTAACAATTGTTCTAGAATGTTTTTGTCTTTGGGCACAACTCGAGATATATTTTATACAAGACTTTTTGACAATCTTAAAAACAGTTCCAGCATGATCGTTGGAGCTCCCCAAAATTAAATGAAACCTTCATGTAAAATGAACAAAGTGATAGAAAAGAAGAAAATACAATATTTAAACCTTATATATACTACAGGGTGATAGTTTCCTTGGTCAAGTCATATACTAACTTCAAATATGTCTAATTTTATTACCAATTGAGCTGAAAAAGATCTTTAGTGTTTAATTAATAAATTAACTATATAATATTTAATACCATATAAATATATATGAAAAAAATAATATTTATAATTTTTTTATTTATTTAAATTTATTTTTATTTATCAATATGATAAATTAATTTCTATATAATAATTATTTATATTAATGTTAAATTGAAAAATATTTTATTATCATTATATATTATATTGTGATTTTTAAAATATATAATATTTTATATTTTTAAACTATTTATTTAAAAATATTTTTTATTTTTAAATAACAATAATTAGGTATGATATAAAAAAAATAAAAATAATTAAGTATACAATTTAAATTATTATTATTATTTAACTAATTTAAAATAATCAATTATAATTATTAAATTATTTATTTATAACATGACAATAAATTATATAATAAAATTAAAAATAATTTGTGACAAAATTAGCAATAGAATTATGACAAAAATTTTGTTGCAAATGCTGTCATAAAATTGGAAAAAGGTATCTTGAAAATTACTGACCGATGTTTTCATCGCTAAATTGTTTTTAATAGTTTACCAAGAAAATTTTTAATGAAAGAACGTTCATCAGTAAAGTTATTTTTCACGGTTTAATGATAAAATAGTGATAGAATTTTTAGCAATGAAATATTTTGTCCTTAAATTCTGTTAGTAAATTAACAATGGGGTAGCAACATAATTTTTAACAATGAAATATTCTATCTCTAAATTCCAACAAAAATTTATTCTATCACTAAATTTCGTTGCCAATTCGCTGCTTTTTTTGTAGTAATATAAGGTGACTCTTGTTAGCAATGAATGGTCACTTAAATTACCATGATTAACCCAGTAAGATCCTTATAAATCATCAAGCAAATAGATGTGAAAGAAGTAAAACACATTGAAAAACTACAAGTTAAATTGAACGTAACCTCATGATTCTACAACTGAGTAAACAAGATTACCCCTAATCTCAAATCATTCATCACAGAAAGAGTCACCTGGAGAAGATGCTTCCATGATTTAACTAGCATGAACACAGAGAAGCTCATCTTCATTGTCCCAGGTTCTGAAACCTCCAATTGCACCAGCACCAACATAAATTTGACCTCGATTTTCATTTATGAGCTAGGGGGCACCTATTGTAAGTCTTCAACGTTACCTAAGCAAGCAAGATTATTAAATCAAAAGCCAATTGCAATGACAAACAATTGACCCTCTACCTACCTTGCCACAAGTTTAGACCTATAAATAAGATCAACCACCATTTCAGATTTAATCATCGCCCCTTTTAACTTTCGATCATTCGTTTCCCCTATGTGACTAGACACAGAAAAAAAAAAGATTCGCTGATCTCGATTTCATAGCCTCTACCTCTATAGATCTTGAAGTTGCCAAGCCTAGCCTCATTCCTAAATCCATCTCCACAAGCTGACACATTTATACCAACCACCCATACACCCAACCCATGTACACCACTCCTTGGCTGCCGTTGCAGAGAAGAGCCTCGAAGGTCGCCGTCGTCATGAGAAGGAAATACTCTCCCCAATAGAGAGACTCTCCCAAGGATGAAGAGGGAAACCTTAGAGGTTTCAGAGAGCCACAAGGCTCTCACGATCATAGAGAACTGATATATTCATAAACTTACTTCTAATAAATACATTCAAGAATTAATAAATTCAATCGAGAAACATAGCCAATAACAACACCATAACTTTGAGTGGCCTCAAAAGAGTTTGAGGATGCTATGAAAAAAAAAAAAAAAACTGTGATGATCACACCAAAGAAATAGGAAAGTGTAGACAACAGTACTTCTCCCTTTAATTGTGTACTGGATGGAATTCAGGGAATGTCGTCATATTGGATGGTATAATCTCAAATGCAGCAGTCTTCAATAGCTTGAACATGAAAGGTTTATCGACTTCTCTTCTGTCTAGCGCTTGAATTCCATATGCCATCACTTGGAAAATTTTTAGCCATGTTTATGAATCCCCTACATCCTCCTTGAGATTTCCAGAGACAAGCTAAGTCTCATTTAAGGATAACGTTCTTAGGTACAACTCGAAACATATTTTATACAAGATTTTACAACATTATGAAGCTACCCTTTCTTTGAAGATGTCGATGATCTAAAAACTTTGAATAGGGATTTAAGGGCTTGTTTGGTTCAGAGGAATTAATTTCTAAAAAGGAATTAGCAAATTTCTTTGATTGGTTGGCATGGAAATGGGTTCTCAAGAATTGATTTTCAGGGGAGAGAGAGTGTGTGAAAATTTAGTTCCCATGATCATCCTATGGAAAAGCCAAATTTTCCTAGAAAATAATATTATTGACCATAATATCCTTCCTTACTTTTCAAATTTCCAAAATTGTCTCCCTACCTGGGAACTATCAAACTCCCCCTTTGACACTCTCTCCCTTTGCGCTTCATTTCAGGTGAGCTTTAGAAGCCATGAAATCTTCAACGAGCTTCATTTTCCAAAATCACTTCAATGGTAAGGGCTTGGTGCTTCAATGAGCTTTAGATCTAAGCTTGAATATGCGTTTTCTGGTAATGGCGTCATGCTACTTTAATATCGCAAATTTGATCATTGATGGTGAGGGTTAAAAGCCATGGAAGTTGTTGTGCTCCAAATTTGTCTGTTGGTCATGCTCCACCATGTTTCACCGTTGTAAATTTAACCACAGCGGAGATGTGGGTGAAGTTCAAGGATGAAACCTTGGTTGTGCTCTATTGTGTGTCATTGAAGGTGGAGTTCAAGGATGAATGTGAGCAATGGTTAAGATGGAAGGTCATTGAAGACAAGTGTGATCGCTGCCAAGCAATGTTTTGAAACCCGGACTGGACATCGAACCGTAAAGAGTAATGGGTCGCGGTTTTTATGGTCCAACCGGTTAGACCGGCAGTCGAACCGGTGACATAAAATTAAATAAAAAATAAAATTTATATGCGCAATTATATAAATAAAATATTAATTTGTCAATGGTGTTTGGGATTTCGACCTCAAAAGCTAAATGCTTGGATTGTTGGAGCTAGAGGTAGAGGCATGTTAGTACAAGCTTGTGATCTTAAAGGAAAATGTTGGAGCTGGAGGCATGCCGTCATATTATGACTAACAAGTTTTCGATCTCGATACTAAAAGTTGAATCTTTAGAGTTGGAGGCAGATGTTAGAGGAGAAATTAGAGATTGAATTTGGGCCATGAAAGAGAAATTAGAGATTAAAGAAGAGAAGAAAAGAGAGAATTAGTGATTAGAGAAGAGAAATTATGAATCTAAGCAACTCGGCCTAAATTTCTTTTTTTTGGCTTTGACCCGGGTTGACCTGGGTCCAGTTTCCGGGTCAACGCCGGTTCTCTCAAAACCAGCCGGTTCAATCCGAGTCAACCAGGGTCAAAGGTCAGATTTGTTTAATTGGTTGAACCGGACCGTTTTGTTCAGCGGGTGACGGTCGGACCGTCCAGTTCGGTTTTTACATCATTGCTGCCAAGCCTATCTTCAATGGTGTGGACATATGTGGCAATTGAGCAATTGAAGACAACTGGTTGCTGCGCCTAAGGAGAGTGGCAATCTTATGCTCCCTCACTAATCTTTTTTATACCTAGTTTAGGTCAGTGAAGCCATGGGTGTCAACTCAATGTGTTCTTTTGTTTGTTTGTTTGTTTTTTTTTTACATCCTTAGATTTGGTTTTGTTGATTCTTGTTACATCATTTTACATTGTGAGTTAATTATGAGCGCAGTTCTAGTCATTTGATTCTCCACAATTTTGATTGATCTTGGGTTGTGTTAAATATTGTTGATCTGGGTTTGCATTGTGTTGAACAATGGGTGGAGGAGAAGTATTGGTGAAAGTGGCAGGGATAATATCGTCCTTTTATATTCTAGAATCAATTTTATTTATATGCTTGAAAATTTTTTTTCACCCAATTTTTCTATTACATGCACCAAACCTACTTTTAAATTTAATTTCTTTATTTTTCTAGTTTCAATTCTATTTTTTTTTCAATTCCATTTTTATCAAAATGCTTCCGGCAAACCAAATAGAACATAAGAAGGTCAAAGCAGAAAATTCGTAGAACATTAAATATCAATGTGCACTCAACAAATTCTACCACGCATGCAACCTAAAAACAAAACATCAAGGGGCTCGGAACACGCTATCAAATTTTTTTTTTTTTTTTGATATCAACATGCTATCTAAAATTACATGAACATAACATAACAAATAATGACTTCTTTCAATGAATTGGGCTAGTGACACTCCAGCCCAAATAAACAAATTCAAAAAAAAAAAAAAGATACCAACCATCGCCCACTGGCTCACTCACTTCTTGTCATTCATTAGGCAAGGATTCTCTCCTCTCTTTCCATCTTTTCCGCTTATTCTTAATTTTGTAACCATTAAATCATTTGAATTTTATTTTGTTATAATATTTTTTAATTGTTTATATTAAATTTTGATAGTTTGAATTTTATCATTTATATTTTTTATAATTTAATATTTTAGTAATAATGTCATAAGAAATTTTTTTTTGACCAAAAACAATGTCATAAGAAATTAAATTTGAGAAAAGAAAGGAAAATGCGGAAGAGAAGACTAGAGAATCATTGTCCCACACTCCCGAGTCCTAATCGTATCTGCTCTCGGTTTCAGTTTCAGTTTCGTAACCCACGTGCGATGCCAACACAGTACTCCTGACGTCAACAATGTGGTCGTCCTCGGCGACGGACTCGGAACAGCCGTCGCCGAATCTCATCCCCTCCCTCCCGGACGACGTCGCTTTGAACTGCTTGGCTCGCGTTCCTCGTTCCCAACACTTATCCCTGTCGCTCGTTTCCAAACCCTTCCGCTCCCTCCTCTCTTCGTCCGTCTTCTTCAACGTTCGTTCTCTGCTTCAATGTAGGGAACACGTTCTTTACCTGGCTCTGCGCCCTCATGGTCCCGATGGTCATCTTCTATGGTTCTCTCTCCATCGGAACACTCTCAGTTCTTCACGCCCAAACCTCCTCGTTCCTATTACACCCATGCCCACCTCTTATGCCGGATCAGCTTATGCAGTCATCGGCTACAATATTTACGTTATCGGCGGTTCTATCGACAACATCCCTTCCCCGCATGTATGGATCCTCGATTGCCGATTTAATACGTGGCAGCCCGGCCCTAGCATGAGCGTCGGCCGTGAGTTCGCAGCCGCGGCCGTTGTCGATGGGAAGATTTATGTCATGGGAGGCTGCGTCGCTGATACTTGGGCCAGATCGACGAATTGGGCTGAGGTACTCGATCCGGCGAAGGGTAAGTGGGATCCGGTTCCAAGTCCTGTTGATTTCCGGTGGAAATGGATGCATGCGTGCGCGGTCGTGGATGGTAAGGTTCATGCCATGGCCGATCGCGGTGGGGTTGTGTATGACACACGGAATGAGGTTTGGGAAAGCGTTGGGATTGAGCTTGATCTGGGATGGAAAGGGAGGGCAAGCGTGGTGAATGATGTTTTATATTGCTACGATTATCTAGGGAATATCAAGGGATTTTATATGAAGAAAGGTTTTTGGAAGGATGTGAGAGGCTTGAAAAAGGACTTGCCGAAGTTTCTGTGTGGGGCAACCATGTGTGATGTTGGTGGGAAATTGCATGTGCTATGGGAAGAAAAGATTGGGAAAGAAATTCATATTTGGTGTGCCGGAATTGAGGTGACTAAAAATGAAGAAGATGAATTATGGGGCAAAATTGCTTGGTCTGATAAAGTTCTCACAGTCAATAAAGGGTCGTCAATGGTGTATTGTACAGGAGTTCCGTTGTGAATTGATTATGAGCTTGTGTTTGGTAATGAGGTATGACATCCTTGAATTTAGTTCTTTGTTTCCTCCCGAAACTATTCGTGGTTTTGTACTTTTGTTCTATTGATATTTTCCCTTCGATTATCTTCTTTGTTTTAAGGGGGGGGGGGAAGAGGGGCTATGATTGGATATCGTATCTACTTAGTTGTTTTTTTTTTTGGATGTTTAATGTGAAAAGGATTGCTAACCTATATTCCGTGGTGGAGTGGGTTAGAAGTTAGATGAGAAGTTTCAATTTCTAGTTGAAGGAAATTAAGGCTCAGAAAATTTGAATGGTTATGAGGAAAAGCAATATTTAGATAGCATCCATGTCTCTCAATCAGATGGTGTCTTGAAATTTGTGTGTAGGTGAGAAATGGTTTAATGCCTTGTTTCGTCTACCCTTTTTTTTTTTTTCCATTTTCCTTTCTTTCTTGAATTGTTGTTTTAAAAAAGTAAATCATACTGACTTCTCTGTTTGTTTTTTTAGGTGTGCACAATATACATTTGATAAAACAAAATTTTTCGTTGTACCATGATATAATTTCAAATTTTCCATTGTCTTGTCTATATAGTGGTTGTTTGTTGAATAATATGCCCTCCAGTATAAACATTTTCAGTGGCGATTGTTAGATGGTGCTGATGGTCCAAGCCAATTCAATATTGGTTTCATTTAATCTGATTTACTTGTTAATATTTTATTTTGAGTTAAGGTGCAATTTTGCTCTCGAATATCACATGAGGCTCAATTTTTGTCCTTAACTTTTAAAAAGTGCAAAGTTCCCTTGACTTTCAGAAACAGAGCAATGTTGCCCCATCAAAATGATTGACTGTTGTTGATCGACTATACTGAGGTGTCATGCCAATGTGGCATCCACCTCACCTTTTTTCACTCTGGATTTAAACTCTGCTTGTGTGGCATCCAAACATGGGCACTGAGCCAGCTTCTGCAAAAGCACCAGAAGAAGATCCAGCGAAGGAGATGAGCAAAAGCAACACTATGGGTAGCATTCAATAAGCCGATACGCGTACATAAGCTCACTAAAAATAAGCTTTGGTTAATGCAATTAATTACTGAACCTTGCTGGAAAGCAGAACGGCAAGTGCATTTGTCTTAGGGAGGAAGAAAGATTAAGATTTTTGTGGAAGATGACGCAGCTTATAATTGCAGGCAAACGTCTGCTTCTTCCTTCAAACACAATGTTTTGAGATCCATATATGTGGGGTGTGGAGATAGGGTCTTCTCCGGCAATATCTTTGAGAGAGATCCAGATCTGTTGGTTTGTTGTCATCATATGTCACCTCCGCTTACACTTTAGCTCTCTCCAACTCCTAGCTCTTATTCTTTGGCCTCGCCCACAACTTCTCTCTTCTTGTCCTTCACTCTCTCCCCCGTGTTTGACTCTTAGCTAACCTCCATCTTCTATCCTCTTGCCATTGATGTATTGTAGGTCAAATTCGCTAGAGAATCTCTCACATCTTCCTTTTGTGCTTCTCCATTGCATATAAAATTCCATTTTAAGTAAAACAATTAAGCCTTGGAATCCAAAATATCAAATTAATCAACAATTGTGACAGATTGAACCGTCCTACATATGAATAGTAGGAGGTTGGGGTGAAAGGAGAACCTTGAGGCCTTGTGTGGAGGCTTTGAATCTTCACCTTTTAAAGCTTGAATGGTTTATTAGCTATCATGGATTACAGAATAGTGCCTATTGGAGGTGCATTAGATGGTGCGAGGAGAAGCTCTTGCTCGATGTTGCAGCTTTGAAATGGATTGATTGATCAAGACAAAACTAACAGTCAAACATTTTGATATGTTAAAATTAGATGGCATTGCTCTGTTTTTAAAAGATTAGGGGGGACATTGTACTTTTTAAGGGTTAAGGATGCACCTTGTGATACTTTGGGGGAGACTTGCACCTTAACCCTTTTATCTTCTTAGTATCTTTCATTTAATGTAGGAGATTAGAATCATATTTGATGTGATCTGATATCTAGAATTTAAATTCCAGATTCTGTTTGATTGTACAAACCCTATATCTCCCTCTATATGTATCCTATGATGCTATGATTGAAAGTTGAAGCTGAGAAATCAATTGCTCAGCTGATTTTATCAGCAATATTTTAAAATTGATCATATTAGTTTGGGTTGGGCCCAAAAATAAGCATATGAAGATTGCACATGTTGTCCAATCAGGTCTTGCCGGACCTGATCTTATTTTTATTTTTAGAAAGCCATTTTTAATCCATATATCAATCATCATCAATATATATACATATATATAAAAGTATGGCTCATACTTTGAACTCTGCTGAAAAAGACAGGAAGATGTTTCTGATTTTTATGAAATAGTTATTATCCTAAAAAGTGGCCTAACTATTCTGTAAAACTAATCTAGTCCAATCTGATGCCAAACTTTGGGGCCATGAATCAACCTAAATTAATATTCACCCCGATTTATGAACATTTTTACGAATAGAGTTGGTTTGTGCCAAAAGGATATAGGTAAAGCCTATGTGTCTTGGTTTATTCCTATAAACTCCCACCCTCCCTCCTTTTTTTTTTAAAAAAAAAATATTTTTATTAGGGAGTTGCATACATTTACTTCTAGGTTATTTTATAATTATTATGCAAAATTTCAATAAGCTCATTTCATGCGTACCAAATATAACCTAACTTGTACAATGTAGTCTATGCATATATATAAAAAACCAAAGGCTATCATACTAACCATACTAGGGGACTAGAGCAGAAAGAGCAGGATCCAAAAATAAGACTGTCCTGCACCAAGAATCTACAGCTTAGTGATCAAGGCAATGAGGACAAAGCATTAGATTCCCTATAAACATGGTCCAGGATGACTATCTAGTTGCACGTGAGCAGACCTTGAGCTTCCTTAATGGTATTCACCAGACGGTGGTACTTGCTTCAGTCTCTGGTTATCAGTGTGAGATTGCTTCCACCAAATCAACTGTAGAACACTAGTTTCTTAATGCCAGAATTCTGCCAATATTCCTGCCAATTTTATGTCCTCTTGCAATAGCCAATAGCCTTTAGTGGTCCTGCATCATCCCTCTTCCAGTAGCTTCCCTTTCGGCATCAACTGATTCATCAACATAAATTCAAAACTAGCATTGGGGGTCCCAATTCTTGATCTCAGACTTGTTTACCAGTTCTGTGCATTTTCTTCGCTTCAGTCTGGGTGCATCTATAGCTTAGTTGCTCCTTACTGTGTCGGAAACTTTATTGCATCATTCTGACAAAAGGTTCCAACAGTCTTGAGCGAATACTTTTTTTCCACTCCAGCCTACTAGCTCTCCTTCTTATGGCTTCCTTCCTTGCATTTCATAGGGATCCCGTTCTGCTGATCGTGGGAGGAAAAGGCATCATAAGTATGTTTGACAAGGTCACACTAGACTTCTCTTGCTGTAATCTCGGAGGATATGCATCATTTTTTCATGGGATTCACAACCACCTGAGCAGAGATCATCCACTTGAACCCCATCTGGGAAGCTTTTGCGCTCGGTTTTTGGCAGGAAGCCAATGAATAGTTTTAACTTCTCATATGTAGGACAATCCCATATCACTCTCCAAATCATAATTTAGTGTATCAACTTATATTATCATACTTAAAACAACATACATCATATATTGTATAAACATGTATTATCAAACTTAAAACAACATACTAAAATAAGTATATCTCTAGTGTTTTATTGACTAATGGCTGGAGCTCCATGGAGTCTTGTTTTCATGCCTGCTCCGTCCCTCTAAGCTTGTGACTCAGAAGGGGGCTTCTTTTTTCCTTTTCGTTTTCTGTTTAATTCCAATCTTCTAATCTTGCTGCGCAGCAGAGAAGCAGCAACTCTTGCTTTTGTTTTCAGTTAAATGGTTAAGAGGTCATACATGTGGTCAATATCAATAATCAAGTGGAATAGTTGATTGTCTCCACTTTTTTTATGCCAGCTTTTGAGCTTCTGCCCTTGTAGTTTAAAGCATTGATAGCAGTGATAGTGAACCCCGAAGGCACAGAGTGCCTCTTCGTTGTTCATTGGATATAACTACTCTTGTGTATTCTGTGGCCTGTCTTTTGGAGGAATGACGATGAGCGAATGTGCTTAGCACAATGAAGACTTGAGTATAGGGTCATTTTCAGTCATGAGTCATAATGCTTTTCTCACTGCTGGACTGTAATTTATTTTGTCTTGAACGTGTATAAATAACGTCATCTTGGTAAAAAGGTTTTGTCCCCATTTAGTTATATATTTATTTGATAAAATTTTGACTCCATTTATTGTTTGCAATGTGTAATGTCTTCTGGACTCTGATATATTCTCTGCAGCATGAATCAATGACTTAGTATTGTAAGTGGGGATTGATTCTTATTTGGCCTAGATTGATCTTTGCTTCATTGCACTGAAAAATTTCCTTGATTGCAGGGTGAGGAAGTGACATGGCAGATCTTTCTTGATAGCATCGCATCTTTGCAATTTTATAGAATCGCTTTGTCATCGTTCCTTTCTCGAGCTTAGATTTGTATATAGATGGCATTACGTGTTGCTCTGCATTCTGTTAATTTATTCTAGCTCGTTGCATGTACAGCGGTTTATATTAAATAAATGCTGCTAAATGATTGACCAATACAGCGTGCTGTTTTCCCAATTTCCATGATAAATGAAATTTGCCAATGTTAAATGAGTCAATTAAAAAATATTTATGGTGTTGCTGTGGACAGTGATGTCCAAATGATAGATAATAATATTCTAATCGAATCTTAGTTTGATCAATTGCTCTACTCTTTTCTGATGGCTAGAAGAAAAAAGCTACTGCTGTGTTGTGTGGTGTTGGAAGTGGCTGGGCGCTTCTTTTCAGCACTCTCTTGCTTGATTTGAATGGAGGGGAAATTGTAAAGAAAATTGGGAAGAGATAAATTTAATAAGGAAAATTTTCATAAATAATATTTTAAAAACTTTTTTTCTTCCAGTCCTCCCATGTTTCTTCCCATCCAAATTAAGGGTCCAAGTTTGCAATCTATGCCTTTCGTTGCACTGTCGGTTTGGTTTAATGTCATAAGCAATGATAATTCATATTGCCTTGCCTAAAGGTGGGAATAAGTTAGGTCTTTAATAGGAGTTTGCAGTCTGGTTTATTTTAGGCTTAGCCTAGCCTACTTATTAAATAGGCTTAAGTCAAATTCAGGCTTTAATTAAGCCTATTTAACTATTTTTTCAAGGTTTAATTTACGAGCCTAACAGGCCAATTTATATATATATGTATATATATTATGTATTATATCACAAATACATTAGTTTCATTTTATGATTTTTAATCAATTTTTTTTCACTACTTTTAGTTATAATTCAATTATATTTGACTTATATATTAATTTTAATATTGGTACTTCATTGTTATATTATATCGTAGATAGTAAGTCCTTTCAATTTTTATATATTATAATTGATAAATTAAATTATATATTGTTTATTATAATAGCCTTATATATTTAAAACGTTTTAAAATTAAAATGTGAATTTATTTAAAAGGTTTTATATTTAAGCATGCTTTCAAATAGGCTTGCAGGTTAGAATAGGTTTAAGCATATTTATGTTTGAATCATAAAAAAAACTTGTACAAGCTTCAAGTCTTTAATTTACCATACAGGGTGAAACCTATTTAATTAAAGTTTAGTTCAGCCTAACCTATTTTCACACCTAACCTTGCCATATATGATATTTACTGTTACACATCATTACCCAAATGGTGGTAATATTCATTCATATCTCTTTCTATAAATTTTATTGTGCTTCATTAACATCTCTCCATTCCAAAATAATATTAAGATTGCATTGCATTTCATTGTGTTGTATTGCATCTTTCAAATACATAAATTGAACCAAAAGAGATTCTGACCGCCTGGCTTCTCCCTTGCTGGTTTGCGTCCCGGTTTATCTTTCTCCTCCCACTTTCGTCTTTGAATGAAAGAGTTTCGGAACATATTTGTCCTTAGATTGAACTTTTTTTTTTGGTCACATTTCTCTTTAAATGAAAGAGTCAACAAAGGATTTGATTTATTTGTCACCCCGGTATTTTACAACTTCCAAAAATGCTGCTACTATTTTAGGGGAATAAAATCGATGCTTGATTATCATTATTATATTATTTGCATGCATGACAGTAGGGGATGAAAATAGGTTGGACTGAACTAGCCTTTAATCAAATAGACCTGAGCCTGCGTGGTAAATTAGAAGCCTGAGCCTAACCTAAATCTTGTGTAAGGCTCTTTTTAGGCTCAAGCTTGAGCCTACTTAAAGCCTGGCCTAGCCTGTAAATATATTTAGAAGCCTACTTAAAAGTAAAGTTTTTTAAATAGGCTCGCATTTTAATTTTAAACATCTTAAATATACTTTAAGGCTATTATAATATACAAGATATAACCTAATTTATCAATTACGATATATAGGAAATTAAAAGGATTTACTAACTATAATATAATATAACAACAAAGTGACAATAAGATTAATATATAAGTAAAATATGATTGAAGTAAGTGTGTGTGTGGGGGGGATGTTATATAAATGAAAATATAAGAGACTTAGAACATCTATTTAATAAAAAAGATACAATAAATATGTTATCAGAAGAAGTATAAATGATGTTAGAAAAAGAAAACCCTAGAGAAAAAAATGAAAAGACTTAAAAGATATGCTAAATCATTGGAACAAAAGGTATATGAATAAAGAAAGATTGTAATGAAAAATTAGATGAAATAAACATGATATAAAAAGATTAAGAACTGAACAAAGTATGATAAGTCATAATATTTATAGAATTATGAAATATTTAAGAATAAACCCTCATAATAAAGTAGAAGAATGATTACAAGTAAATATGATGAGAATAGTTAAAGATGAACATATGACTGAAGAAAAAATAAGAAAACAGGACATGCATGAAAATATAAAACAAACAGTATAGAAGCAGAAAAAATATGAAAAGGTCAAAAAATAATGAATAATAATATATGTTTATACATGCACAAATAAAAAAATTAGAACTACAGATATTTGATAGAGAAAATGAAATTAATTATGCAAAAGAAAAAAGAAAAAGAAATAAACAAAAAATTAGAAATAAAATTAAAGGAATCATAATTAAACAATTTATTTGAACAACTATTTGATCAATTGCAATATTATCAGCCAACTACTATCAAAATATTCAAACAATAATTAAAGAAAGCAAGTAACAGATAGGGAAAGTAGGAAAGTAGGCAACTGAGTAAAAAACAACAATAAACTTTAGGATTAAGAAGTTCATATTATCTTCATCTTAACATCATTTTGACCTTCTGGTATCATCTTTAAAAGAAAAGAAAAAAAAGAAGAATAATTATAATAAAAAAATCTAAGAAAATGTAAATGTTATAATTGTGGACAACTAGGGCATATATCACCAAACTGTCCAAGTAAAAAAATAAGAAAATTATAAAAATAATAAAAAAAGCTTATAAAAAAATTTAGAACCAATAAAATATGATGAAGAATTATTTGAAATAGAAAATAAATTAAAAAATAAGCTCTTATTAAATTAAATAACAAATCTATTTTTGGTATTGATATCTATTTTTATTACTAATTCATTTAATTTTTATAATTTATAACTAATCTTGATTTTTTTCTTTTTTTTTCACTATGTTTTATTACAATCATTACTGGTGATGAATATTTAGATCTACTTCTCTTATTAAATTATATTGTTTCATTTCATTAATATGCATTATGAATTCTTTTCTATCTTTTTCTGTCCATGGGTATGGTTTACAGTTTATTTCTTTACTATAATCTTTTAATTTTATCTTTGCTAATGGTTTAGATTTTTTTCAATGTACTAAAGGATTATCACTATAATTTTTTAATAATCTTTTTTCAATTTTTTTGATTTCTTTTGTAGTGTTTAGCATTTTTATTGAATTTATAACTTTATTTTGATATAAAGGTTTTTTATTTGGTAAGAATATACTTTATATTATATTTAGGTCGACTTGTTGGGCTCATGAACGAGGCATTGAAAAAATAGGCTTAACCTATTTAACTAAATAGCCCTAATTAATGACCCGAGCCTGGCCTAAGCCTATTTAATAAGTAGGCTAGGCTAACTTGAAATAGGTCAGGTTGTAGGCTCCTATTAAGGGCCTGATCTATTCCCACCCCTACGTGATAGTTGAGAAGTAGGTATTCTTTTGATGCTGTAAATGTATCTCTTTAGTAGAAGTAATTTTGTTTCACTCACAGGTTGGATTTTAAGTATAAACACTAAAATTTTAATAAATTTGTTGTTGCCAATTTGAACACTTCAAATTGATTTAAATGGTAAAAATATAATATTAAAATCTTCTACAATTTTTATAGATTGACAGTTTAAATTTACTTTGGAAGGTTCAAATTTAATATTTAAGACTTTTATAATTTTTATGAATTTTTATTATGATAAATGGAGTATAAAAAAATAGAGATAATTTCCTAACAAACCTTTCAAAAAGAATCTTTTTTTAAAAAAAATCACAAGTTAAAGCTTTTAAATTTGAATAACTTAAATTAAACCTTGACAACTTAGATCTCATTAAAGGTGATGAATACGGTAGTGTTCATCTCCCTGATGAGCACAAAAGTTGGCCTCATGATTTTATAGTCTTCTTTAACTGCCATTTAAAGATTAAAAGCTTTAACATAAACATTATTCAAATAATCACCTTTAAAACTTTTCAAATATCTAATCTAGGGCCAATAATTCAGGTGGGGCAAGTTCAATTCGGACAGAATTTATTCATATTAGACTTTAAATATCTAAACATATAAAAAATCTTATATAGTCAAACTCAACCCTAACACATCATGCTTATTCAATTTGACTTGAATACTTGAATTGTTAAATATTATTTTATTTTTAACTAATTTTTATTTTTGTCTTAAAAAATAAATATTTTCAATTTGTATTGTATTTTAATTTTATTTTACTAATAATAATAATTAATTATTATTCCAGACTAAGTCCATTCAAATTCAGGCTTTATCTAAATTTCTTTAAAGTTATTTGGGTGGCTCGAATAAGCTTGAAGTAAAAAAAATATTTTAAATTCACAAGCTCAGCCTTAAGATTATTTGAATTGGTTGGCCTGTTAAGTTTAGCTCAAATTAATGCATAAATATAATCTATCCTAATTATTTCAAATTTCAATCAACTTTTTCAATGCTACCTAAACATGTAAGAGGCA